AAAGTCATATCCTAGCAAGCACCTGGTGCCCTCTGGGTACTTTTGGGGGCTCCCCTGGCTGAGTGGGCAGTCTAGTCAGCTCACAAAAGCCCTGCTAGGGAGTATGAGTGGGGTAAAGACTGGCTTGTTCAGCTTGAGACCTTTAGCTGTGCAAATGCCCCTGCTGAGCCTGGAACTGGAGACCCTCCAATCCAGAGGTGACTTCTTTCCATCATTTGCCCCAAAGCATGGCTTATGTTAGTGGTGGCACTACAAAAAGTGTTACTAAATGGGTTTATCTGCTTACATATACTCACAAGCCTAGCAGGGGCGCCGGGGGATTGATTCTAATGAATCTCTGACTACTAGTGCCACCACCACCAACATGTTTAGAAAATGACTTAGTTAGCTGGGCTGAGGGAGGATGAAGAGGATCAGTTCATCAGAGTTAGATGCAGGAAGCAGGAAAGAATGTCCTTGTAATTTGGGATCCAATAAGAAAGAAGAGTGGTGCTCTTATGGGCGTGACCTTGAAGCATTCATTCTCATTCCCATATCCTTTTTGCTCTCTGCTTCCTGGCTGCCATGGGTGGAGAAGCTTTCCTCTGCCATGCCCTTCCTCCATGCCATTTCTGCCTTGGAGTCAACTGACCATGGACTGAACCCTCTGAACCCATGAGCCAAAATAAATCTCTCCTACTTTAAATTGTGTGAGTTGGGTATTTTGCCCCACTCACAGGAAGGTGACATACTAATATTAAGCTTCTCTGAGGTGCTGCAAAAAGCAACAAAGGAATTTTTATGTATTGCAGAAGTGGGCGGAAATTGAGTAGAAATGACAGTCTGATGCAGGTGGGAGACAACTCCCTCATTTATCCTGTCAAACTGGCAACTTTAGATACTTGAAAGCTCATTGAACCACAGAGCTGTGTGTGGACATTAACAAATAGATCCTATAAGTGCTGTGATAGGAAACTTTAGAAGGGGCGCATATTACACCATCCAGTTGGCAATAGAAGCAGGGAATAATGACATTTCAGCAAAAACTCTATCACATGGGGAAGGAGCCATATCAAGGAGTTATAATTGAAGTTGGAGCAGAGGACCAAGAAGAACCAAGACAGGATTTACAGCCTTTTCCTCATCAATTAACAAAAGATGGCTATTGGATAATTAAGTTCCTAGTTTGCAATGTGAACATTTTTGATGTGGCCATAGACATCAGAGAACACAGACACGTTAGTTATTTCAACCACTGCACAAGTGCCCCTCATTCAGCCAGAATCATGTTCAACGCTGGACGATTTAAAGGCCAGTTTGCAGAAATTTCTGCAGATCTCTGGCAATGTTGGTAGGTTTGGTAAAATGACTCACAGTCCTGGTTATTTCCCAGAGCAGATGTGGAAAATATGGGAGAGTTGACAGGCACAGGGCAGCAGCTCCAGGCAAACATTGCCAGTACATGATGTGCTGAGAGAGTCAAGCCTGTGATTCACATCTGCTTTTCTAACCTCTTGTTTTAGGGCCTCTTGGGATCCTGGTGAGGAAGAAACGTCATAACCTTCCCAGGGGCTGGGATTCTGGGTCCAAGTTGGTATCTGTAACATGCTTTTACAGACCTTTTGGATTTCCAGGGAGTGGAAAAATTAAATCTGACTAGGAAAATAATTAAAATAAAAAAGGCAAGACGGCAATATGGTTAAAGATTTTTTTTTTTTTTTTTTTTTTTTTTTTTTTTTTGGTGAACTCAAACATTTTTATTCAACTCTGACAAAGATTCAGTTGCCAGGAGGATACAAGCAACTACTTCTATTCCATGCACTTGTGTTAATCTTGGGTCCAAACTCTTGGCCATATTCTAAGTAACTCTGCAAAGAACAAAAGCCAAAAGTCCATGTGGAACTTGCCTTCCAGTTCAGGCAGTACGTTCTTTCTCCACTTAGGCGGAGCACTTGTAATGTTTTCAACTAAAAACAACTACTTCCGGGGGTAGGCAGAGCAGGGTCTTCCGGCTGAAGGGGAAGGCGGTTTCTCCTGTCCCTGCTAGGAGTTCCCAAGCAGCTGTGCCTGTTCGCCCAATCCCTCCATATCAGGACCCACTGAATCAAGCACAACTGTTTGAGTCAGAGAGATGGTTCTGCACCCAGGAGTTAGGCAAATAGATTTAGGGGACGGGAGCCAAGGATCGAGGCGACAGAAATGAAAACACAGGCATCCCACATCGATGGAGAGTGGGAAGGAAGGTAAAATCCCAGACAGATGCCTCTGCGGGCCCAATCACCTGTAAGACGTCCTGAACTCTTTAACCATGAGTGAAGCAGCTCACAGGCACCATTGTCCAGGGACGCCAGACTCCTAAAGATTTGATAAGGGCTAATAGATTAGAGAGATGCAAAGATCCAGTTCTACTAGCAGAAGACAACAGGAATCACTGCTACCACATAACCAAATACACATGAGAAGAAAAACGAAACTTTGTTGAGGGCAGAAACAGCCATCAAAATACCTCTGAAAGATGTGACTAAGCAATCAACAAGGACATGAGAGTTTACCTGAAAGTGACCATAAGTTATCAGCAGGCAGCTTGTGTAGACTCACACAGTAGGGAGCCTGAGGTGTGAAATTCACACCCTCCCATCCACACTGGGGCATGAAGTCAAATTGAGCATGTGGACAAGATAACTAGCCTGGTATCACTTTAGGAAGATTGATACAGGAAGCTTAACAGGCCGTAAGGATGACAAGAATACAAACCCAGAGGGGGAAGAAGTCAGTCATGGTATGATGGAGCTGAAAGGAATGAAATAAAATCATTTGTAGCTGTGTAACCAAGGGTTAGGGAGATAAACAATTTATTCTAGGTCATGGATGAGATGACTATGGTTGAAATTTCAGATGACTATGGTTGGAATCACTAATCCACTATTTTCCCATCCTTCCACATTTATTCTCTTGTGAAAACACAGACACGCAAAGAACACCAGATTATGGAGTCGTGGTCCCATAAGGGAAATTTTATCTCATCCTGTCTTCAGCCAGTTTACTACTATGTTCTGTAACAATCCTGGCAGCTATGCAAACTACATCAGCCAGAACACTTCCAAAGCTGAGAAATTCCTTGGACTTCCAGAGGTAGCCTGTGTTAGTCCGCTTCTACATTGTGGTGCCACATCACAACAAAGAATGTGTGATGGAGTGAATCTGCTCACCTTATGTTCAAAAAGCCAAAAAGCAACAGAAGGGGTGAGATTCCCAGTATCTCCTTTGACAGCTGGATTCTGCACCTTTCAACAGTTCTACCATCTTCTAATAATGTCAAGCTGGAGCCAGGCTTTGAAGATGTGGACCTTTAGGGGACATTTCAGGTCCAAACTACTGCACAGTCCAATCCATTACTGTAGGAACTGACAGTAGATTATTTATACTGAGCTAATACCTGCGTCCTTCTAGCTAGCTCCCTTCGCTCTGATTCCAATGGATCTTACAAGTTCTCAAGCACCACTCATTAATCAATAACCAATTAATTAATGTGCCAGTGGTGGAAAACAGCATCATACCCATCTCAGGTCCTCCCTTTCATCTTCTGAGCATTCTGTATTCTTCTATACCATTTTATACTATTTTATATAGTACATTTATATAAATTCTTCTGTAGAATATGTCTAGCTTGTTAAATTATAGATTCCTCCTTCTCCCTCTAGAATCCTCCCAGTCATTTCTTTAAGGAGTTGAAACTATTTGGATTTTAGAAAAAGTACTTACTGTATGTCTTAAAGAGTGCAAACTAGTTTTGATATTTATATTTGCTCTACTAATATTAATAACATAATTAGAAGGCAAGCTTGTTGTCCAGCATCACACAAAAGACTCCAGATTGCACAGAGGTGATTACTGGAGCCCAGCTGAATTAGATTATCAATTTAAATGGAAATCGTGTATATATACCCTGGCCCCAGTTTCAAACACACTTAAAATAGTGATGTTTCTTCTCATCATTATCCCTAATATGTATGGAGTGTTTCTAAATGAGCCAGACTTACAGCAACAACACCTTTATGACTTGGATGCCATGACCCTTTCTACTTTTCTAATGAGGAAATTGAACCCCAATGTGTGATGGGATTTGCCCAAGGAACCAAGCAACAGATCAGGAAAATTGCTCTGATGAATTACAGGCAGCAAAGCTGTTGATTATCACCCATGCTAGTGCAACGTGCATTTCCCAGCCATTAACTGATAAGTGAATGTAAATTTGGGGCCCTCTTCCAACCCATGCCGTATTTCAAGCCCACCTCAACTCTGAATGATTCTCCTGTGATGATCACTTGACATTTAGATTCTTGTAACAGCAAACCCTCAATACAGATTGAATGAATGACTTAACCAGTGGCCCTGACTCTTTCAGTTTTTGTGTTCCAATAAGATCTGATATTTTTGAGTCAGGCAGCGGGACTGGAGGAGGATAGGGGATAAATGATGTGTCACCATGTCCCCTGCACAGGGCAGCCCCTCTGCTCACAGGCCTGCTACAACAGTGGTTCCTTAAACCCCTTTGTACAGCTGGCCTCTTCTGCCTGGCTTGAAACAGCCACCTGGTCTCTTTCATTTCCTCCAGGAGGGAACTGAGCCTCTCTGCTTTCACAGAGGCTCTGAATACTCGCAGCTGCAGCGCCCCCTTTGAGGCACCGAGTTTCTCTAGGAGGCACTGGACCAGTGACATTCACCAAGCTGGGTGGCAGATGTAATCTCTACTTTTTTTTTTTTTTATTGGTACCAGGGATCGAACTCACAACCACATGCTTGCAAGGCAGGCGCTTATGCTGCTGAGCTAAATCTCTACTCTTATCCCACTGTGTCAGCTTTAATGCTGTTGGATCCCCAGCCTGACTCCTTTTTTTTCCTCCTCCTCCTCTTTTGCCTCTCAGTTTTAAAGGTCACCCTCCTCTCCCACTCACCCTCCTGGGGACTTTTTCTATTAATCATCTTTTCCATCAGTGGGATAAAATACCTGACACCCACAATTTATAGGAAAGGATGGTTTATTTTGGCTCACAGTTTCAGAGGCTTTGGTCCATGATCAACTGGCTCCGAGGCAGGAACATCACGGTGCACGGGCTTGATGAAGAAGGGCCGCTCACTTCATGGCAGCTGGAAGCAGAGAGAGAAAAGAGGCTGAGTGGAAGGAACCTGTGGCATGGCTTTTCCCTTTATGGTTCGTGTCTAGATGTCCCTGCAAAGCCTCGTGCAGTCATAGTGGGGCTTTGACAGAAGTGAGTGAATCTAGAGTATATGATGCTGGGATTAAGAGTGGGTGATTACTAAATTAGCATTGCCCTAATCCTGGTTGCCTGGATACAATATGAGGGACAGAAAGACTTGTCTTCTCCCTTTCTTGCTTTTGCTATCTTTTGCTTGCCATTAACTGGTTCTCCTCTGTGAAGCCCCCTGCCAAGCCATCCTGTCTTGGAGTCAGCCAATTATGGACTGAAACCACTATAAACTATGATCTAAATGAACTTTTTCTCTTTTAATTTTGGGAGTATTTTACCTCATGGCGAGAAAAGTAACTAAGACACATCCCCAGTGATCTACTTCCTCCCACCAGCCTCATCTCTGAAGAACACATTCAGCTGTGAACCCGTCAGTGGATAAACCCACAGATAGATCCAATACCTCTGTGACCTTCAAAACAGTTCCATCTCTGAACACATGGGCTTTTGTGTGTGTGTGTGGCAGAAGGTATTTTAGGTCCAGACCATAGCATTTGCTCTCAGCCTATTTACTGGCTTCTCTCAGTGCAGTGGGACAAGGATGCATACTTCTCACGAGCTCCTGGGTTCCCAGTTATTGCTGTTTGGGGGAGCATACATTGACAGCTGAAGCCCAAAGTGACTGTACTCCACTAACTACTGGTTTGGGGGAGCCAAAGTAACACTGCTAGTTACCTAGTTTCTGGTTGTGGAGGGCAGGTCTCAGTGGTGATGTCTTATTTCAAACTGCTGCTATAACAGAGTTCTACAAATTTGGTGGCTCAGAAGCAGCAGACATTTATTTATTTCTCATGGCTCTGGAGGATGAAGTTTGAGATCACAGTGCTGCCATGACCACTTTTGGTGAGGATTCTCTTCTGTGTTTCAGACTGCCAACATCTCAGTTTACCCTCATGAGGCAGAAAGAAGGGCTAGACCTCTCTGGTGTCTCTCTTATAGGAATCTCACCCTTATGAATGCCTCTAAAAGACCCCACCTATGTATGCCATTATATTGGGGTTAGAATTCCAGTAGGGTAAGCTTTGAAGGGGACACAGACATTCAGTGTACTGCAGATAGACAGCTGGGGTCGAGTAGTACATTTATATACATGAATCAGCTGTTGATCTAGGGAAGAGGCTGTGCGTTGACTAGAAGTGTCATAAAACTTCCAGGTAGTCCTGTGAGGAAGCCATACCCTGGGATACCGCACCTCTCCTCTGCTCAACGTAGTCTTGTTTCAGGGATTTTTGTCCACTCTTCATATTGAGTGGCTCTTCCTGGCAGGTGATGTAGAGTGGAGCAATTCTGTACTCAGCCTGGGGAATCGTGGAGCAGGTTCTGCCCTGAAAAAATGACAAGTCAGCTAAACTCAGAAGCAATTGCAATACGTGTCAATGCCAGGAAGCATTTGTGCTCAAGAGTTTCAGTTGTTCCCGTTTGTATTATCACTTCATTTGTATACAATTTTTGGCTTTTTCCAAGAAGGGGAAGAGGTAATCTTAAACTTGGTGCTTGATAAGGATTCTGGATTACCAAATTAGGACCCTGAGAACCTTCTTCTCATAAGAGGCTCCATATCCTCTGAGGAAACTGTTGGGATTCTGGAAACTGTGACTGGAGGTCAGTGTGCCTCGACTTCTTTGATAAACTGCATGTAGCTGAAGATCAACGACGGGCCTCCTGACCGCTAGTGGACTTCAGCCAGTTACATGGAAATTCAGCACAAACTCGAAACATTTGAGAAACTGTCAAAGGTAGAGCTGGGATTTGTTTCAAGCAGCAAAAGGATAACTCCTAAATGTTTGGTCAGGGAACTGGGGAATTCTTTACCTGCAAATGGAAGCAAAGAGCCAGCCAGCTAGGTAGCAGGGCAGCCTGGGAAAGTGCAGGGGTGTGAAGGGTGGGTAACAGGATGGGGGCCTTTGGTTCCAGAGAGAGAGAAGAGGATGGAGCTGAGATTAGTAATGAAGCAGGGAGTAAAACTGAGGTGCTCTTCACAAAATACAAGTAGATCCAAATAGTTCTGCAACATCCTGGAACATTCTGGAGCCTGGCTTGGCCTGCAGGAAACAGGGGCTACTTTTTGTTTTGTAAGAATTTTAAATTTAAAGAAGTTGCAGCAATCATATTTGCAACTCCTCAAAAAGAATCTCTTCATAGATTCAACCTTGTGTTCATTAGCTTTATGGTTTTCATTGATCTAGCAAAATCTATCCATACATGTCTATACATGAGAATTGATTAGACATCATGATCCTTTTATCTCAGAATACATCAGTGTCTTTCCTCATAAAAAGGGCATTCTTTTACATAACCACAGTACAAAAATCAAAATCAAGCAACTGTCATAATGCTATAAGCTGAACCACAATCTATTTTACTCATTGTCTAGTAGTGGCTTTATAACTAATTATTCCTGGTCCGGAGCACAAGATCATCCAGTGCATTTAGCTGGTTGATCTTTTTGTCTCTTCAGTCATTTCTCCCCTGATTTTGAAAGTTATTTTGTACAGTTGCCTCAGTTTGGTTCACTCTAACTTGTGAGAGACAGTGTTCACGCCTGCGCATTTCTGTTAGGTTTCACAGTGCCAGCAGGAAAGGCATTCTGACTTTAAGGATGTCTCCAAGCTTGTGAGCACATCAAGTACCAAGGCTTGGCCAGTGGCTTGCCCGCCTAGTAGATCTCAAACAGCTGCTAATTTTTCCTCTTTTTATCCTTAAAAGAAAAAAAAAATTCTTTTGAAAGGCAGGACTGAGTCTTGATTCAGAGTCTGTCAGACGCAGCTAGTAATTCAACAGCCTTTTTAAAAAATCGCATTTATTTGAATCTGCTCTTTGAAAACTATATGAAGTTTTCCTTTACAATAGCGACCTGGCTTTTCTCTTAAATGCCACTTTAAAATGTGAAGTAAAATAATTGAGTCGATTTAAGGAAACCGTAAGAACTTCAAGGACGCTCACCTAGGGAGACACAGCGACCTGCTCACCCGGGTCCCACCGCGGGCCTTGCGAACTGGACTGCGCACGCGCAGAGGCCACCGGCTGCTGTTTGTTGGTTTCTATGGCTACGAAGCCTCGCTGCTTGAGACCTAAAAGGGAGAAAATGAAGCTCAAGAGCCTCCTGCTGCGGTATTACCCGCCAGGTACGGGCTCCGCACACCTGCGCTGGGGCCTGGTCTCAGAGAGGTGGCGGGGAGGGCACGGGGGGGGGGGGCTGGGGCGGGTCGGGGGGCGCCGGTGTCTGCTGGCTCAGTGACCGGGGAGCCCAGGCTGAGATCCTGGAGGGCCTCGGTGCCTCACAACTTTTTGAGTGACTGTTTCCGGAAGACTTACACTTTGAGGTCTAAGGTTTCCTGGTTACTCAGGAATGAGGTCGAGGGCTGAGCAGTGTTTGATGATGACCCAAGACACTCACTCTTGGAAGCCGAGACAACAGCAGGAGCGCAGAGCTATTTTATTTATTTCTTTAGTCTTTCTTGAGACAAGGTCTCCCTGTGCAGTTTGGACCAGCCTTGAGCTCACTCTGTAGCCCAGGCTGGCCCCGGACTTGCAGCGATCCTGAGCCTCCTGCCTCAGCCTCCTGAGTGCTGGAGTTACAGGTGTGTGCCACCGATGTGCCCACTTTATTTGTGGAATCTGGCTGAGCCTGCTGTATAGAGTCTCACTCTCCTACCTTCTCTGTACTTACGACTTCTTTAACAGTCCTCTCCATGCTTAAAAGTCTGGCTCTTTTTCTCTGAGAACAGACGGAACAGCCCATCAGATGAGAGCAGACTCGTCCTCTTTCTGGACCCACATTTCCCCAGACCTCGCAACGGCTAACCTCTTTTCTTTATCGGGGTTCAGCCAACGTAACCAAGCCAGAGATGCCTCCGAAGTATCCTTCACTGATCTTATACTATTCCATTGTTCATCTTTATTATATCCCTCATAACCTGCCCTGTGTTTATTGTTCACATGGTAAATATCCACCTCTTCCCGAGGGATGGACACTGCGTGAGAACTACCATCGTTCTTTTGTTCACGGCTGCATTCTTAAATCTAGAAAAGACCGTACTTGTAAGTGAAATAAATCTCATGTGTGTAAAATACAGTGTTGTCTCCCTAGTGTAAGATATGGAGAGAGCAAAATCTACCAGAAATATTGTGTAAGGATAAGAACCTGCTCAAAGGGAAAAAGTAGCTGGGATAGGGGGCAGGGGGTAAAAAAGGAAGGGAAAAGATATAAATTTGTATATATATATACATAAGATGACTGTACTACTAATTATATTACTTCCTGGAAAAGAACAATTAATACTCGTGATTACATCAATTTTCCATGTCACTGTCTGGTCATCTAAGCAGCCCCTTGGAAGATAACAATATGCAGTCTGACAACCATTGTCAAATTCCTAACATCTTGGGGGCTGTTTTGATACTGGGACCTATGGTCTTGTTTTCAAAGTCTATACTGCTATTGTTTTGGGTTAGTTGTTTGCTTGATTCTTTTGCTTTTTGTTTTTCTTTTTATCTTTTAAATAAAATTAAAAAAAAAAAAAAAGAAAAGAAAAGGTCCTGGAGTATAGGAGGCACTTGATGTCTGTGGAGTGAATGTGTGAATGTGGATTATGAAAGAGATCGGTTCAGGCATGGAAACAGTCGTGAAGAGATGTTTAAAATCGCAAAGAATTATGAGTCTGTCTCCCTGGAAGAACAGGACTGGGCTACAACCTCCTCCAACATGGAGCTAACATGTGATAGACAAGAAGGAGACTCATTTTCTTTCCTGTTAGCATTCTGATTAACCTACAAGAGGTTGCATTCCTGAGTAGCCTGTTCTCTTTAGGCTGTGTCAGCAGTGTTTTCACGAACAGCACCGTAGTGAAGGGCAAGCCTCAATCCCTTGTTGTGGAATGGAGGCTGGAACGTGGGCTCCAAGATTAGAATATTTGACTCTCGCTGTGGAATTTTCCCACTGAGCAATTTGTTTCAATCCGTGAAGCTGTCAGTCACCTGGCCCTCTGCGGACCCTTTCCAGCAGCTAACTGGCCTCTTTCCCTTCAGAGGAAACCTCCTTGCAAGAAACAAGAATTCTTCCCCTGATTCCTCTCTTCTTGTCAGAGTCAAACTTCATTCCTCTTGCATTTCCATTTTTACTTATGCCCCGGAACTCCCCGTTTGAGGTCCCCCTGGCGTTCATGTGGCTGGGCCTGCTGGTCACGGCCAGTCGCCATCTCTGTTGACCTGACGCAGCATCCTCCCCTCTGAACATGAAGCTCTGAGCTCCTTTCGTCCTCTCTCCTGCTTTCCTTTCTCTCTCTGTGCCCCTCTTTCTTCATGCATCTTTTTGGTTCTTTTTCGCTCTAATCTCTTACTGTGACAGTGTCTGAGATCTTTGACTTCGGACTTCTCGTTTCTATCTGATCTCGTTTGCTGGGCGAGTCATCTGTTCTCAGGGATGAAACACTTTCCTGTTTTGAGTGGCTGCCCATCTGCCCAGCGCCTCTGTTTGTGTGTTCAATGCACATCTCATGTGGGTTGGGGTGTCAAACTCTGTATCTTCCCTTTCTGTCAGTAGCAGCTCATTTCCTCACTTGCTTGGCCAAAATTGCAGACTGACCCTTGTCTCCTCTCTCACGTTCCATGTCAGATCCCAGGACAAATCCCACCACCTGCCTTTAAATGATGCTTGGAACCCAGCGCCATCTTCTCCCCTTGACCACGTCCATTCTCTGTGGCCAGAGCTTCCTCTTTTTTCTCCATACAGTCCGATTTCAGGACTGCAGACTTAATGTAAAAGGCTCAGGTCTCCAGAACACCCCAGAACGTTCCCTTTTGCTTCTCTGACTCCCCCATTTCCTGGGTTCTCCTCTATCATCTCTACTTTTCTGGGGTCAAAGGTGCCCCCACCTAGCTCTCCACCGTTGCTGTTCTTTCTACCTGAAATAATCATCCAATATTAATAAATGTCCACTAGTTATGGGCATTTGCATAATGACAGCTCCTATTTTTTTTTAAGCTCTTTTCTCAAAAGTAACCAAAGTGAAGACTTGGATGACCTCCCTTTCTAAAACTTCCTTTTTCTCAAAATATTTCACAGACTTTTGCCCTGGTTTGTCTTTTCTGCTTGTGACTATCTCACTCCAACACATTGTGATAACTGCTCATTTTTTGTTGCTTAATCCCCTCACCCCCACCGCAAGAGCTCAGTGAAGGCAGAGACTTTGCTGATTGCACTCACTGCAATATCTCCAGCACTCACAGCAGAGCTTGGTGCATAAACAAGGCCCTCACGTATTTGTTGAGTAAAGGAGTTTGACCAGCTGGGGTGTGTTGGACACAATGCTTGTAACCCTCTGGATATGTGACCAGGTCATAGAAATGATCTGCGTTGCTCTGAAAGTCAACAATTCTAGTAGCAATTACAGATTCAAATAAAGTTTCAGACTCAGGCTTGCAACTCGTACCTCATGATTACCCCATAATGAGATAGTTCCAATTTTTGGTGAGCCATGTCCTAAGCAAGTTTCTTATGTACTGCTGAATAGTATATGGGTGTTTCAATAACATCAAATAGGAAACGTGTCACTCATGCGAATAGAGCAATTTTGTTTCGCCTTCGAGTTCGGTGTTTGGTCCTCTTACTTTTGGTGAGTGGCTTGTAGATCTGGAACATTCTCTGTTAGCAACCATTGAATTCGTCCTAAGTGACTAAATGGACATCGTAGTGTTGTGATTAACCAGCCCGGGGAAATCCCCTTTCTGTCTCAGTTGCATTCAGTTGTCCATCAGTTTTTGGTTTTGTCAAGAGCAAGTGACAGCTACATGCTTTCCATGCATCAGTTAACTTTTGTCTTTTACATTTTAACTAGGTAATACTCGATAACGTGCTCAATAATTTGAGCACGTTAAATATTTCTGTTGATATTTCTTTTGAGTCATGGTTTTAAAATATATAACCAAATTTTGAGGGTACAGGATCCTTACCCAAGGATTTTTGGAGAATAATACTTACTGTATTATAACTAACAGAAGATCAGAAACATTAAGACATTGTGGAATTAATCGCTGAGGAGAGACCGTCAATATCTTGATCTGTTTTCTGTTTATATTCTGTACAGCATTGTCATAGCCTGGTGCCCATGTTGGAGCTCAGAGATTAAGGGAAAGGTTGATACACTGCTTTGGTGTCTTGTCACAGCGACACAATTAAAGGTGCAATGTTTCAGATTTTGCATTTTACTTTCTAGATCCATTTGTGTAGCAACTGACATTTGTGCTAGTCATTCTAAGGACTTCTGAGCATTACTCATGTTGGTAGAAACAAGAAAGTGTTGAACAGGAAAAGTAGTCTTTTGTTAATTTGTGAAAATTTTTACCGCTTTTCCTTAGGCTATTAGATTTTGCCATGTGGGTTGTCAAGAGCTTTTTTTTTTTTTTAAACCTTTCTTTGAATTACAGATTATTATTATTCCTCAATAATAAGTACTACATGCTAAGAATTTTTCTATGTACTATAAAAAACTTAAAAGAAAAGGAAAGGATTCTTGATAACAGTATCTCTCACTTATGTAGAGTTTATTACTTTTTAAAATTTTTATTTTAAAGAGCAAAAACAATAAAAACAATGATATAGAATTTCAAAACAAGACAATAGGAAATTAACAATGGTTATTGTCTTGCATACTGTTATCTTCGGCATAGTTACTCAGATTATAAGACATAGGCATGCAAAATTGATCAAATAATATAAAGCATAAACCATTTTACTTTCCAATTATTATATTTTATTTGGGTTAAATACCTTGTGGGGATTTTGTTCCTTAAGAGTTATATATTCTAATAATGTTGGTCTTTGTAATTTTTTTCTTTTCTTTCATTTTCTTATTTTTCTTACATTTAAAAAATTTTTGTGGGCTGGGGATTTAGCTCAGTGACACAAGCACATGCCTGGCAAGTGCAGGGTCCTGAGTTTATCCCTGGTACTGCACACACAAAAAAATTTGCATTTTCTGTTTTTTTAAGGCAAGACCTCACTATGTAGTTGAGGCTGGTCTTGAACTTGTGGCAATCCTATTGCCTCAGCCTACTGAGTGCTGGGATTTTAGACATGTGCCACCATGCCCAGGTTTATTTTACTTTTTAGCTTTTTAATAAAAAG